TTCTTGTTACTTGTTTGCGCATTTGCTCGAATCAACGTAGTCAGTCCGTGTGAATTCTTTTGTTGCTTATTGAAAAAGACCGAGTGAACCAGCGTATCTTGCTTACCATTTACTAAACGGAAGGGATTTCTTTTTTTGGAGGAATTGGAATCCTTTAGACATGCTAACCTGCACGTTTGTTAGCGAATATACTTTGCTCCTGTGAACTAGGGCAAGGTGATCCTATAAATTTCTTTGTGCTTTTATAATAATGGGAACTTATCCCGATTCGGCCTAGCTTGGTTGAATTGCATAATCAACTTAGCTAGGTCGAAAGACCACCTTTTTCTAGTTACTTCATTTTATTTCGAAGAGACAGCATTCAATTGGCTGTAATGAACCGCAATTTTATTATCTATTTAACCAATGTTTTTGGTGAATTTTTTTAACAATGAAACCTGTTAACGGTAACGCTAGATAGTTAACAGGGTCCATTTCTTTTTCGAAGCTTAAACAACAATTTCCCGAGCCATAACGAAAATGTCGCTCTTGTGAGTCAAGCGAGACTTGCCCCCGAGCATCGGGCCGAGGCACTAGCAAAGATGTCAGTTCACCGACTTCAAAATTTTCATCATAGTCGTCCGTTTCTTCGGGAGAAACCATTTTTCCTCCATTTTTCGACCAAAAAAAAAAACATTATCCCTCCATTTTGGCTCGTGAAAGCATTTTGATTTCTAGTAAATTACTAGATAAACCATTTTTCACTCATGCAAAAGTTTCAATCCAATGGTTCTTGAAAACATGTCTCAAGTTTGAACTTGAAGATGAAATTTTCCTAATCTATTTGAGTAGGTTTCCTATGATCTAATTCTTATCTAGGGATAATTGTCTAAAAAGTCATAAACCTATTGTACGGCATACAATTCAGTACTAAATATTTCAATTGTATCAATTCAATCCAAATTTTTTTGATGATTTACCAGTCACCATTTCAATCAAAGCACTCAACTGCTTAATCCTAACAACAGTATAAAACTTGTGCCTTAGCACAAACACTAAAGTCTTCCTCAAGTAGTCATCCACAATTGTTAGAATAATATTGACTCTTTTTCTAGAAGGATACCGTGACAACCTGCGAACATCCAAGTGAATTAACTTTGTGATCTCCGTCGTTTCTTTGAAACCCTTATTGAACTACACTTTTCATCCTTTGTCTAAGTCACAACACCTACATGTATTCCAGTTCGTCAGCCACATAACCACAAGGCAGATTTCTTTCACTTAGAACCTTCAGGCTTCTCTTGCTAATATGCCCCAAACACATATGCCACAATTCAAACTTTTGAATATATGTATTCGATGTCTCTGCGGCGAAATCCGTCAATGTCTCACCTTGAAACTCATATTGGCCACTATGCTGAATTCTCTTATTATTACCAAGACACCTCAAACAACCTTCAAAATTCTACATTCTGAAGTATACCGATACCTAGTTAAATCCTGGGTACTTAAGAAAATCAAGTTTATTCTTCATCTTTGAAACATGCCTCACTCTAGTCAATATCCTCATGATACAATCATGCATTCTAATTCTAATATCGCTAACACCCACAATATCGCATTCAGAGTTATTCCCCAATTGTACCTTACTACCTTCCATGCACTATAAGTAGTAACCCAGTTCATATTCGGTGTAGCATGAATCGTTCTCTTTCAATGGTAGAAGGTTCTTTCTAGCTAGAGTTTCAAGCCTCTTCTCGTCGAGATGACCAAGTTTCATGTGCCATAGCTCGCATTTACCTACTTCTTGATCAACTTAACTTGCATGGTGTAGAGAGTAAAAGTCTTTTTGCCCTTAGCCACCACCATTGAACCTTCAGGTCAATTTTCATTTGGCATCGACAAAGGAATTACAGTAACCATCATCATCTAAGGCACCTGTGGAGATTAGATGAAGATGAATGTCCGGAACATGTCTTACATTTTTTAGAAGCAAATTATATCCAACATCGGTTTCCAAATGAACATCTCCCATGCCGATAATCTTAGAAACGCCACTGTTGCCCATTCTAATGCAGCCGAAATCACCATTACAATAGGATTTGAAATATTCACAGGGTGAGGTGATGAGAAATGAGGCTGCAGAATCAACAACCTAACTAGAGTCTTGGCATGTAAGGTTCACACTAGTATTGTCACAAATGAACACATCGCCATCGGATGCAACTGCTGTTGTATCTTGCTTTTCTTCTTTCTTTTGATCTTCTTTTCTATCGTAGGATTAATCTCTCTTTGCTAAACCGTATTTATTGGCATAATGTCCCATCTTGCCACAATTGTAGCACTCACATTCCTCATCGGCCTTGATTTCGACCTTCCTCTAGACTTGCCTCTCCATAATAATTTTAGAAATTTCTGGATTGATTTCTCTCCGTGTTTTCCATGATAAGAGCCTCCGAGTGAGAAGCGTAATTCATGCATTTCCTCCTTGTTTCTTCATTGAACAAGCTTTCTTTACCATGCCCATTAGAAGCACACCGTAAGGAGCAGAATTATTTGATGATATAACCCATGTATCCCAATTGTCGAGGAGAGTACCAAGCAATAAACATGCCTGCAAGTCTTTTATAACATCTTCAAATTCACTCAAGTGCCCAGACATGCTGCTCCCTTCCTTGTATCTCAAATTTACAAGTGTTTTAACTAAGAATACTTAATTTTGTGAGGTTCTCCTCTCATAAAGATCTTGCAATTTCTTTCACAATGTTTTAGCATTTGTTTCTTGAGCAACATAATGAAAACCACTATCATTAATCCATTGTCGGATAAAGTCAACTTTTTCAGATTCATTATCTCCTATTCTTTATGTTCCTTGTCTCCTTAAGCCTCATCACTATCAATAGGATCATACAAAACTTTATAGTATAATATATCTTCCATCCGAGACTTCCAAATGGAGTAATTCGAGGTATTTAACTTAAACACGGTGCCGCTGGTTTCATCCATCATGCTTGCTCTTATACCATTTTATTGGGGAGAAAGGCAACAATTTAATGTTTAAACCTATCTAGGATCAATATCTTCCCCAAAACTCATCCAACTAATATTAAATTAACCCCAGCAACAACTAGTCACAATATTCCAACAATATCATGCCTGAAGCAATAAATAAAGTGCTGAAAATTAAAGTAAGGCAAAAACAACATCCACAAATTTTAAGTGAAAAACTCACTATGGAAACAATCATGGGGCCGCTCAAAAGAGCTTTCACTAATCACCAAGAATAAAAAGATACACAATAGTTCATCTCTAGTCACATAGCTAGAGGCTCTTCACATCAGCAAAACAACAATATATCATCTCAAAGAAACAAGAAAGCTCTAACCTCTACTAGAGAAATTGAGATACAATTGAGAGAAGGATTTCAATAAACAAAACTGATCAACTTATAGCTCTTGGACTCGAGAACAAAATACTGAAATTTCAGCCAATTTCGACAAAGTTTCACCATCTAATCTGGACTTCCTTTTCTTCTATTCGAAGCAACACTCTTTGCCTCTTTTCTTTTTTGGCTACAGTGAATTGCTCTTCTCTCGCTCAGGCATTCAGCCCTATCTTTTTCTTTTTCTTTTTTTTTAATTTTTATTTAAAAAGTTGAGCTGGGCCCCTGTGAACGAGTGCGCCTTCTTCGAGGAGGTCGAGAGGGGCCTGAGCAGGTGGAGAACTTGAGCTTGAGGGGCTTTGCGAACGCGACTATGCAAGGGCTTGAATTCAGTGACGAACGGCAAGAAGAGGCACGAGGAAGAAGTAGATTTTGCACTATTGACGAACCGACCTAGATTTTCCACGTCCTCCTGTGCCGTCATTTTGCACGTTCGGCTTTTGCCCTGAGCAAGTAAAACAAAGGGTTAATACCACGAAAAAAATTTCAAACAGGTACACTTGTAATAAATTTATCTCAAATTAATTTTTTAACTGTCAAAAACTCCAAATTAGTACACCTGTGACAAATTTATCCCAAATTAACTTTTGACCACTAAAAATCCCAAACTGGTACATTTGTGACAAATAAACCTTTTGTTAGTTTCCGTTAAATTGGATTAATATCACAAAAAATCACAAACATGTACATATGTGACAAACGGAGGGTAAACCTCAAAACTGGTACATTCGTGTGTCATTGAACAAAGTAATTTGACAATAAAATTTAACGAATGATAAATTTATCACGGGTATACTAGTTTGGGGTTTTTTGTGGTCAAAAAATTAATTTTTGATAAATTTATCATAAGTGTACCAGTTTGGAGTTTTTCATGGTATTAACCCTAAAACAAACAGGCTTTTGCTAATGGAGCAACACAGAAGATGTGACTTCACTTCACAAGAGTGGCATATTGAAAATAAAGGGAAAAAATTGGGAATATTTGGGTATTAATGCTATAGTTTAGAGATTTCAGGGAATATAAGTTGAGAAATTAAAAAAATTTAGTTCGGACAAAATGGCCCTGCCCATGGCGCGAGGTACGGCATCGGCGAAGATTTGTGCCGTCGATGATATGGAGAGTCATTTGAAAGGAAGTCATCAACTTAGGAGTAGCGTGTTACTCGGTGCCACCCAGTCAAGGAGCAACCGAGTTTTTTTCCCATTAACTGTACGCTCTATTTTGCATGCATTGTGCTGATGTCTTTTCTTTCCTTCATTGATTCCCATTTTTCCTTCATTCTGATTGTCTCAGGATTGTGAAAGGCCTTAAGATTATTCTAAATTGCTCTTGTTGATATTCCTCACTCAAGGCACTCTCTCTCTCTCTCTCTCTCTCTCTCTCTCTCTCTCTCTGGCTTTGTTTCCTTGTTCTCGTTCTTTTATCACTTTGCTCTTTCCTTTCTTTTCGTACATCGAGTGATTATTTCCGTTCTCTGTTCAGTTTCCTTGGCACCCATATGTTTAACAAAAAACAAGGAGACACAACAAGAGGAAACGAAGAGGTGGGGAAAAGAAAATTCTAGAGAAGAAGGAAGACATGGCCGGGGCTTTTCTTACCTCTGTTGCGTCGAAGCTAGTGTCGTCACTCGGTGAGTACCTGATTGCGCCCATTGGACGTCAATTTGGGTACGTGCTGTGCTACAAGAGCTATGTCGAAGATCTCAAAGACAGACTCAATGAGCTGAAGAATGCAAGGAAAAGGGTGCAGCAATCCGTCACTGAAGCCGAGCGTGATATAAAACCTATACACACTGATGTCAAGGATTGGCTGGAGAAGGTGGAGGAGAAGATTAAGGAAGCAGAAATACAGTTAAAATCTGGCGAAAATGCAAAAGATGCTTGCTTCCGAGGGTGGATTCCGAACCCCATGGTGCACCATCCAATTGGTAGGAAGGTGAAGAAGATGACACAAGTCATTCAGGGACTCCATGAGAAAAGCCAAAATAGTAACTTCCAAGAGGTCTACCATGAGAGTACTCCTATAGGAATTGTCACTGCTACCATGTCCGCTGCAAGATCTGTTGACAAGAATGACGTCCTGGAGTCGAGGGCTTCAATCATAGAGGCTGTAATGAAGGCTTTAGCTAATGACAAGGTTTGCGTGATTGGGGTGCATGGAATAGGCGGGGTTGGCAAGTCCAAGCTTTTGGAGGACATCGAATGGCGAGTTAAGGAAGAGAAGTTGTTCGACGTGGTTGCCACGGCAAATGTATCACGCAATTCAGATCTGAAAAGAATCCAAGGAGAAATTGCTTATGCATTGGGTCTAAAAATAATGAATGAGGAAACTGCTCGTGGGAGAGCAGATCGTTTGTGTAAGAGGTTAGAGAGTGATTCCAAGAAAAATATTCTCATCATTTTAGATAATTTGTGGGAGAAGTTAGAGTTGAAGGAAGTTGGAATCCCTTGTGGAGTTGACAATAAAGTAAAAGGCTGCAAGCTATTACTGACGTCTAGATACAAAAATGTTTTGCGCATTGACATGGGCTCGGACGAACAAATCCAACTCGATCAGTTAAAACCTGAAGAAGCAGGAAGACTTTTTGAAAGGATAGTGGGAGAAAATGTTAATGATCCTGAGTTTAAACCCTTGGTGGATGGAGTGGTCGAGAATTGTAAAGGCTTGCCACTTCAGATTGTTTCGTTGGCAAAAAGGTTGAGGAACGCAGATTTGGCAGCATGGAGGAATGCTTTGGCCAAAGGATCGGATGTAAAATCAATGGTGGAACTATATTACAATGACTTAAAAGATGAGAGGATCCAATCATTGTTCATGGTTTGTGCAATACACTCTGGGAGAATTTCCATGAATGCCTCCCTTATCTACTGCATGGGTTTGGGTTTATATAAAAGTTTCAGCAAGACCATCGAAATCGCTAGAGATGCGTTGATTACAGACCTACATAGCCTGCAAGACTCTTCTTTGTTACTAGATAGTGATGACATGGAATGGTTCAGAATGCATGACATATTCGCTGACGAGGCCATCTCTATTGCTTCCACGCAATGGAACGCCTTGGTCGGGAAGAAGGATGGGTTTAAAGTTTGGTCAAAGGATGAGCTCAAAAAATGCACCGCGATATCCTTCCCTTATGTTGGCATTGATGAGCTTCCGGAAAGATTGGACTGCCCAAACTTGAGGATGCTTTTGCTACTCGAAAATAACCCGTCCCTCAAAATTCCCGACTTGTTTCTTGAATCTATGGAGAAGCTCCAAGTCTTGGACTTTACTGGCTTATCTTTCACCTCTCTACCTTCGTCGATTCGATTCCTTGAAAACCTCAAGTCGCTATGTTTGGATTTCTGCTATCTGGAGGATGTGACTGTTCTTGGAAAGCTAAAAGGATTGCAGTTCCTAAGTTTCATCGAATCTACAATCGCTCGGCTACCCAAAGAAATAGGTGAACTTACAGAATTAAGATTTTTGGACTTGACAAGGTGCGCCAGGCTCAAAGTTATTGAACCTGGCGTACTTGGAAGGTTGGTTAATTTAGAAGAACTATATATGGCAGACAGTTTTGATCAGTGGGAGGTGGAGGATGAAGCACCACGAAGAAATGCTAGCCTGGCTGAGTTGAAGAACATGAACAAGTTGAGCACTTTGCATATTGCCATTCCTCATTCCACCTATCTCTCAGGTGATCTGCCATTTGTGAAACTAAACAAGCACATAATCCAAATTGGGAATGTTTGGGATTGGTCGGGTGAACACAAAGAATCCAGAACTTTAAAGCTCAAGCTGGAGCCAGACAATCTTCTTTCTGAATACTGGGTGCAAAGATGTTTGCGGAGAACACAGGATCTCCACTTGTATGGATTGCAGGATGGCGACAATAGCATTCCCAATTTGTGCATCGAAGGTTTTAAGGATTTGAAGCATCTTCACGTACAAAACAGCCCCTCCCTTCAGTATGTTGTTCCCTCTGCAGAGATTGTCCAATGCACCGCATTTTCAAAATTGGAATCGTTGTTTCTCGAGAATTTAAACAACTTGGAGAAGATTTGTTGCGATTGTCTTGCCCCAGAATCCTTTAGCCAATTAAAGATTGTGAAATTGGATAATTGTGGTGAAATCAAACATTTGTTTCGTTTGTCTATGATGAGAGTATTCTTACAGCTCGAAGAGATTGAACTGAGCAAATGTCACTCGATGCAGCAATTTGTCGCATATGATGAGGCAGATGAAATTAGAAATGCAGTTGAAGATGATCCCAAAGTGAAGTCATGCAATTTGCATAGGCTGACATTACGGAACTTGTCAGAGATGACAAGCTTCTGTAAAACCATGGACCATCCGGTTGCATTCTTCGGGCAACAGGTAAATTTCATGCTTTCTCCTGTTGATCTCGTTCCGGACCATCCTAGATGAAGGAAATCTTCTTCGACTAGTTTTCTGATCCATGAAATACAAACATGGACATTACCATCATAGATATTTAATTGGTTTAAATATGGATTAGCTCATTCCTCAATTAGTGATACTCTTGATAATGAACTCCGAAGAAAGACAGAAAATAACATAAAAGTTTCCGACTTTCATAGACTTTTTTCCAATTTCCTCCTCACCATTCAAAGGCATTAGTTGAAGTCCCACACATTGCGCGGCCTAAAAAAAAATTGACTTGGTTGATATTACCATTAGGCAATGATAAACATTTAGATTATTTAAAAAGGGGCTAATACCACAAAAAATTTCAAACCGGTATACTTGTGCTACATTTACTCTAAACTAATTTTCGTGCCACAAAAAATTCCAACTTGCTACACCGGTATCTCATTTACCCAAAACTAAATTTCGTGTCATAAAAAGTTCTAAACCAGTACACACATGCCAAATTTACCTAAAAAATCTCAAATTTACCATATTTTGGGGTAAATGTGACACAAGTGTACCGGTTTGAGAATTTCTGTAACACGAAAATTAGTTTGGAGTAAATGTGGTATGGCTATACTTGTTTGGAATATTTTGTGACACAAAAATTAATTTGGAGTAAATGTAACACGGATGTACCAGTTTGGGAAAATCTATACAAATTTAAAAGTTTATCAATTAGCAATGGTAAAATTTTGAATATATACACATACCTTTATGGATAGGTTCATAACTTGAAGGAAGTATATACGACCTTTATAATTTGGATAAACTTTATTTAATTATTAAGGGACATATGTAGAATTCTGTTTCATCCGCTTGATAAAAGAAAAATAAGGAGTATAAGAATTGTCAATAAATGAATTTAACTGTAGTGACTATGTGTCAAATAACATCCACATCAATTAATCATATAAATCAAATTTTGCAATTTTGTCTTAAGTACATGAATGTTTAGAATGAATTGAGACGATTGAGTTGCTGTTTTTTACCCCGATAATGGTAAAAAATTGCGGGATGTGAATAGACCTTTGTGGAAATGTGGTTCTACATAAGGTTTTATTATATAAATTTAGAGAAAAGTGCACTGGAAGTTCTAAAACTTGTCACAAAAGTGCAATTGAGTCCTAAAACTTTCAAAAAGTGCAATTAATGAAAGGACTTTTTCTTTGTCAAAACGGAAGAACTTGATTCGACCAATTTAACAAGTTTTAGGACTTTATTACATTTTTTGAAAGTTTTAGGACTTAATTGCACTTTCATGACAATTTTTAGGACTTAAATGCACGTTTTAAAACTTCCAATACACTTGTCTATATAAATTTATACTCTTATATGTTAAGTGATGGAGCTATTATGTGACTACGAAATGAAAAACGAAATATAATATTCGAAAGGCCAACTTGTTTTTGTTATACTTGGTACATTAATGATATGCTAGTGCGTAATTAATTTTTTTCATGCGAAGTAATGCGTGTTCATATTTTCTTGTAACAATAATGATTATGAATTATGTGGGGTATTCACCCCGCGCAACTACAAAAAGCATTAATGCATATGCCTTCGTAACATTACTCTCCTGGCTTTGCAAGGTTTCATTGCCAAGGTTGGAGTCCTTAACACTATCTGAACTTCCTAAATTGAAAAAGATATGGAATTCTCAAGTTTCCTCAGATGTGAGCAGTCTAAAATTTCTGAAAGTAGAGGATTGCATGTACCTCTTGAGCATTATCCCATCAAATTTGCTAACTGAGCTACAGAATTTGGAAGCCATAACCGTTAAAAGATGCCAGTCAATACAAGAAATATTCAACCTTGAAGGACTGACAGCCAATGGGGACGTCGAGATTCTGTCACGATTGGCCAAATTAACTATTAGTGACTTACCAAGCTTGGGACGCATATTGAACAAGAATCCAAGAAGAGCATTGTGTTTCCGAAACTTAAGGGCACTGAAGGTGCAAAACTGTGGGAACCTGAGGTTTCTTTTTTCTTTTTCCATGGTTGAAGCACTTGAGCAAATAAAAGAAATACAAATAGCCAATTGTAAATTGATGGAGGAAATTATGGATGTGCAAGAAGAAGAATCAGAGAAAGCTGCAATCACCAACATTATAGGATTCCCTTTGTTAACCTCCTTGTCTCTTGAGGAATTACCAAATCTCAAGACATTCTCGTATGGAAAGTACCATATTCACTGTCCATCCTTAACAAGACTAACGATATCTGGATGCCCCAAAATGATGACATTCTCTTCAATTGAAGAAAAGCAACGGCCAATGGCAGGTGATACGGATTTACAACAAATGTTTGGTTGTATTGACCCTGGCTCGTCCTCGCCTGATTTCTTCGGTCAAAATGTGCGTAAATGTCTATGGAATTTTCTATTCTGTGTTTATATTAGAAATTATTCTCGATAATTGTAGTCTTATTGCTGATGAAGCAGTTGAAAACTCTATACGTCAGCATGTCCTATAAAGCCTCTTGCTACTCCATGCATCTGTGTTTTCTCTAACAATGGTATAATCTTGGGTAATCAAACTTCATTCTTAAGAATACATTAACATATTAGAGCTTATTAAATCGTCCGAATCAAGACTTTTCATGGTCGAGAAACTAACACAGTGTCCTTTCATACAGATTCTTTTTCCGAGATTGGAGGAGTTGACGCTCTTGTCGTTGCACGGGTTGAGGAGGATATGGCACAATGAACTCCCTGAAGAATCATTCTGTAGACTAGCATCCATCACGGTCAGAGATTGTGAAAATCTTTCTCATATTTTTCCATCAACTCTAATAGAGAGGTTCCAGAGCCTGAAAATGATTGAGGCGGTCAAGTGTACCTCTTTGGAAGCATTAATCGAACATGTTCCTTTCAATACTAACAAAAGCCAAAAATGTCTGCTTCTCTTGGACTTAAAAAGATTGAAGTTGTGGCACCTGCCAAGGCTGATTGCGGTTGGGACAAGCAGCACCAAAGCAACGTGGCCTTTTCCTAATCTGACTAATGTTAGCTTGTGTTGTTGCCACAGTTTGACATATCTCTTGACAAATAATGCAGCCAGGACTCTTAATAAACTTAAGATGCTAGATGTTTCTGGTTGCAATAACATGCAAGAAGTAGTTGCCGTGGAAGAAGGCGAAGAGCGAAATTTGCAGGCAGTGAAGTTCTCGCATTTACGTTCATTGAAGCTTTGGTCCCTTAAGAGCTTGATTAGATTCAGCTTGGGAAGATGTTCATATGACTTTCCCTCCCTAAGAAATATCTCAATTCTGGAGTGCACTCAACTCAAGGCATTCATACATAGGCCGCCGGCGCCAAGTGTGGAGATGATGAATGAGGGAGCTACCAGTTTTGATGAAGGTCCATATTCTTTATTTGATGAGAAGGTTTTACTCTTTCCCTTTCCTCAATGGTATCGCTACTCATGTGATTTGTTTTCTTCTTTGTGATGCTCTAGAAAGCAACTTTGCTTCTATGCCATTCATTGCGACTTTAGCGAGGTGATGCTTCTGTAGGTCACATTTCCCAAATTAGAAGAGCTGCGTCTAATAGGGATTCAATCAAGAGAATTGTGGGAGAATGAGATGTCCAGTGGGTCCATTTGCTGCCTAAAGGTCCTTGAGGTGAAGCGGTGTCACAATCTCTTGAATGTTATTCCTTCATCCGTGTGGAAGAGGCTGCTTCACTGTATGGAGTCCTTGACGGTTGAGAATTGCCCACGTCTGAGAAACCTTTTTACAATGTCTATGGCAAAAAGTCTGAGACAACTTCACTATCTCAGTCTAGGTGGGTGTGAAGAGATGGAGTACGTTGTTGCCAGAGAAGAAGAGAAACCTAACGAAGCAACCGACATAATTGTAATTCCTCAACTTGTCACCCTTTATCTTCACAACATGCCAAAACTCAAAAGTTTCTGCCAAGGGAAGTATATTTCAGAGTGGCCCTCCTTGAAAGAGTTTACTGTTGAAGATTGTAAAGCTGTGGAGGTGATTCTAGGTGATGCTAATTGTAGAAAATTAGAGAGCGGCGCTCCGAAGCAACCATCGCTTTTGCTGGTCGAAAAGGTTTGCACTCATTCTTCTTCAATGGCATATCTACATTTTTGTCCCTGATGGTTTGAGCCAGACAATGCAAGGGTCTGTGGGGTGACTTATGCTAGCTTATCATTTTCTTTTACAATATTTTGACTTTTATTTGATAACAAACTCTCGAAGTTACTACTATAATATAAACATATTGACAGGTATATCAAAACTTTTTCATAAGCTTCCAAAACTTGATATAATTTCTTTTATTTTCAAATTTTAGACTAATGTACCATTTTATTAATAATGTAATTAAATTACAAGTACTACCGAGAGGCTAAGCTCTGATTAACATCTTTTAACTAGTCTAGAGTCTAGATGATGCTAAAGAGATCGGCTCAAATTTAAATCTTATTCAATGTAAATCGACAGATAATGACACAATGAGTCCTTTGCTTGTGTCGGTTTGACCCTTAAATCCTAAAGTTCTTTCTACATGCATGAAAATCGTAATATTTGCACGCTCTATACATTTTAGGACTTGTTAAGTCCGTCTCTATTTTGTAGATGGAAAATCTGTATTTGTTATCATATTTTCAGTCCTGCGTGTGGCTGTTAACGTGGTGATAGGGCTTCCTCAAGCACTAAATTTTTTGAAGTGCAAGATCAAAAACCATTTTTATCATCAATACCTTATTATGAACAAGCTAAATTTTTTTAAAGGTTCAAAGTAATGGGAGAGTATATTGGCTATTGGGTACGTGTGTGTTGTAATGAGCAAGATCTAAGATAGGCTAAATTGGAGGTTTATGGGAAATATATGATGCACAATAAGAATATGCTTGTCTAACTACGAGGCTATGTTTATGCTTGACCCTATCAATAATGTTAATCCCGTAATTTTTCTTGTTCTTGAAATTAAAGTTCTCTTTTTTGACCGGGACAGAATCAGCTCTAATGAATTAAAATGAAAATAGCAGGTTGAATTTCCTAGTTTGGAGTTGATGAAGATCTCGCACATGGATAACATGGAGAAGATATGGCTTGATGAGCTTGCTTCAAATGCCTTTAGCAAACTCAAGACGCTAGTGGTGGAGTATTGTGAGAAATTTTCATCCATATTTTCATCTGCTACCATCCTTGAAAGATTCCAAAACCTAGAGAAGTTAATTGTGACCAATTGTGATTCCTTAGAAGCGATATTTTGCATCCAAGAGTTCAATTTCGGCAAAGCCCATTTTACAGGCAATTTTCAATTGAGAGAATTAGTTTTGAGACAGCTACCAAAAATGAAGCATGTTTGGAGTGGACTTCCTCAAGGAGCTCTTAGCTTTGGACACTTAAGATGCTTGGAGGCTTTCAAGTGTGAGAGTCTCAAAATTTTATTTCCAAGCTCAGTGGCAAAGAGCATGACACATTTGGAAGAACTTGTAGTATGGGATTGTGGGGTGGAAGAAATTTTAGTGGAGGAAGATAGAGGAGTAGAGACAAATGTAGGTGATCCCTACTTTCCACGATTGACAGCCGTGACATTTTTTGACTTGTCGGAACTAAGGAGCTTCTACATAAATAGTCATACTTCAGCATGGCCACTCTTGAAGGAATTGCGAGTAAGACACTGCAGCAAAATGAGGTCATTCTCATTCACCTCTGAGATCCAGAGCTGCCAGGGTATTGCTATCAACCATAACCAACCCGCACTCTTTTCTTTACAAAAGGTACAATCCTTAATTCTAGCTCTTTATGTTTGGTCTTCATTGCTTTATGTGCATATCTCTCTATGCTTGTTATTTTCATTTGGTAATCGAAATTGTCAAACATTTCTTACTTATTAATACTCACCTGACCACACTTGTGAATTGCTTATATACCTAAAGATTAATTGAAGTTAATTTTTACAGCTCATATTCTTTGGATATGTTCTAGTGGTCCTAGTTAATGCTTTGACAAAAAAAAATTATATGATTAACTTGCTCAGACAGTCACGCTTCTAATGATCTGCCCGTGTCTTATCTAGTCAATTATGTTAGTGGCATGTCCAATAGCTGGAAGTTAGCTATTTAATTTAAGTTGACCTTCCTTGTCCACCAAAATTTACAAAAAATCTAGTATTATGTTGATTTGGCAAATTGCTGGCATTCCGTAGCTTTAAAAACGAAACAGAGGTTCCTGCTGGTACATCACGGATGTGGTTGGTAATTGTCAAATTCCGCTGGTGATTTGCTTATCTAATCACGTGTCAGTAACTTTCTACAGGTGTTGACAAGTACAATAATTTATATATTCTTCAAAAATTACCAAATATTTTAATTGTGACTTACCAACTCCTTGAAAACTACTAACTTTTATTTGAAATAACCAATCTTAATTTGGTTGTTGTATCAACATTCATCACATAAGGATATTAACTAGTTTTAGTGGCTTACCAACTTTCGATAATCTACCTGCATTTAATATTGTGATTACCAATGCTTTTGAAGTACCTACTTTTATTTAAAATTATCAATCTTAATTTGACCAACGTACTAATATTTATCATTCTAACATACGGACTAACTTTCGTCACTTACCAACATTTTATTTTGTTAGGTTTTGAGAAGCACAAACCTTTTTTTTATACTTCCAAAATTACCAACATCCACAAATATTTATTTTTTAGCTTACCAACGTCTTTAAAATTAGTAACTTTTATTTGAAATTGCCAACCTTAATTTGATTGGCATAGCAACATTCGTCAATTAAGATACAAACTGATTTTAGCCATTTACCAACTTTTTTTTTGTTGGGTGTTGAAAAGTACTAATTTTTCTTTATACTTCCAAGATTATCAACAATTTTAATAATCCACCGCCAGCTGTTATTGTGGTTTTCAAAGGCGTTATCAAGGCCTTTGAAGTTACTAATTTTTATACGAAATTACCAACATACATTAGATTAACAACATTAATCACTAACCCACTTTTTATCTTGTTAGGTTTTTAAACGTACAAAATTTTCTTTATACTTTCAAAATGACGAACTACTTTATTAATCAACCGATATTCAATCTTTCGACTAACTGACACCTTTCAAAATTACCAACTTTAATTTAAAATTACCAACCATAATTTGATTGATATACCAACATTAGTCAAATTAATATACCAACTGATTTTAATCACTGACAAACTTTTTATCTTGGAGATTTTGAAAAGTAACAGTATGTCTTTATACTTTCAAGATCACCAACTATTTTATTAATATACCAAAACTAATTTCTGTGACTTACCAACGTCTTTGAAGTTACTAGCATTTATTTGAAATTACTAATCTTAATTTGGCTAGTATATCGGTGACATACCAACACGGAACTAGGTTCTGTTTTTAACTCCATGGAACGCTAGAATTGTCCGTGTATAGGGTTATGTATTGTTTCCTATCTTGTTTGACGCTTCATTTGCTATTGTAAGAATTAATAATTTCTCTTAATTATTTACTCATTTTCTTGTTTTTGCCAATAATTAATTCAATGTGAATGCATTCTTCCCAAAGTTATAGAAAGGTGAATTCATGCACTACTTATGATCTATCGCAAAAAAGATACGAGAACTGCAGCTTAGAAAACAAAGTGCAACATATTATAGTAGAAGAAAGTGCAACGTACTGCGGCAATAGCTATGATATGGACATTTGGCGGCCTAATTAAACAAATTCCCACAGGTCATTCCACAGTTGGAGCGATGGACGTTGACAAGGGAGGATGTTGTGATGATGCAGCATGACATATTGGGAAATCTTAGAGAGCTGGCTTTGGGATGCTACCATGATGAAAATGTAGCTTTTCCCTCTGACTTCTTTCTCCAAAGATTCCCCAACTTAGAAGAACTTCGAGTAACCTGTAGTTGCTTCGAGGAAATATTTCCAGAAGAGGCGTTGGGACCTGGGGCACTTGGAAATTTGAAGCAACTCTGGTTGACCGACCTGTGTAACCTCAAGCGAGTCTGGAGAGATGGCTCCTTGATGGCTGAAATTCTTAAACACATTGAATCTCTGTTCATTCGGGGGTGCCCCGGTTTATCAATCGTATTTCCATGTCCGGCTTCATTCCAGAGCTTGAGGGAATTAGAAGTATGGGATTGCAGTGGTTTGGTTCATATGGGGACTTGCTCAGCTGTCACAAGCCTGGTGCACCTTACCCGGCTAACCCTAAGAGATTGTGGTGCAATGAAAGACGTGGTAACCGATGAAGATGATGATAGGACTGGGGGGGAAGAGATCTTTTTCCGCAAACTGGAAGAGCTGATACTTCGTGGTTTACCAAGCCTTGAGAGCTTCTCCCCCGCCGATTGCGCCTTCATGTTCCCATCACTAGCGCGTACAACTGTGACAGAGTGCCCCAAGATGAACATATTCTGCAAGGGCACCGCAAGAACACCAAAACTAGATAAACTACTCCTCTCCGATGAGGATGATGAAGGTCGTTGGGAGGGCGAACTTAATACCACCATCCGAAGCTTATCAACATGAAACCATTTACACCCAATTCAGTAAGTCGAGTAGATGTTTTTTCTAATGATTAATGTTATTGTAGAAATGCTTTGGTGATGGTGATGGTATGGCTAGCTTGTTGTCCTTTCCATTTTTAGAGTTGGCAGTGTAGTTTGTTGGGGGTAACATCCAAAAGAAATCCATGTCTTGCTAATAGGCCTTTACTGCATGACTGCACAGTCCTAGTCATATCTCTCATACAAAAGGCTGCACAGACACTGGAGTAATTGTTCATTTACGAACTCTCCCCATACAAAAGGGTGCACAGACACTAGAGTAACTAATATACATTTTATTAACATGTAGCTAATCACACCCAACAGTGATTCATTATGCTCCAGCCTTAGCAACAAACGGCGTCGAGAACACACCAGAGTACATGGCGCTAATTGACATGAGTGAAGCGGAGGTAATCCTTCTTGGACGGGAGATCGGCCGTCTTGAAGCCCTGCGGGAACATCTCCTTGGCCTGCTCATTGGAGACAGACGGCGAGATGACTACCGCCTCCCCCGGCTTCCAGTTGCACGGGGTGGCGATCTTGTAATTTGATGGCCTCTGCAGCGAGTCCAGCACCCTCACCACCTCGTCCATGTTCCTCCCGGTGCTCGCCGGGTAAAGAAAACTCAGCTTGATCTATACAAGTATACGTTATACTATGGAAAAATGAATAATCCAGAGTTCTACTGCATATTGTCTTGTTTGATTGGGAAAAAAAGGTTTATGCTACTCCAAGTAATACACATATCACTGACATGCATGAGATGACATTGGTTTATGCAATTTGTTTCATGCGCGAGAAAGAAAAGGTAGAAGGGCATGTATACCTTCTTATCAGGACCGACGATGTGCAGAGCTCTAGAAGGGACTTGCTTCCCTGAGGCGTCTTTCTCCTCCGGCTCGACCATGTTGAGCTCTTGATGATCTCTCTATTCAGGTCGGCGATTATCGGGTACGTCACCTTGGCCCCGGGCTACACCCCACCAAATAACATGACATCGAATCGAATTGATCAGCCATCACCCTGGAGAATGTCGGCTCGAAATTGGAATAATGGAAATTGCATTAAAGCCAAAGGCCCCCAATCTCAAATGTGAAAGAGAAAGGTCAGCCCTGTGGCCTGCGATTAAACCACCTCAATCTACCCTAAATTGTGCCTAAGATTAAAGAAACTTCCCTTGGTCACTCTACTAAATTATAATACCACGCATTCCCCTAAGTTCTCTCGTTTCTTTTTTGAACAATACAATCACCCAAATCAGATGAGACCCGACATCCAAATCCAAACAAGCAAGTTAGTACAAGACATGCAAATACATGTATGCCAAGTAATAAAAAGGGTCTAATTGGTGGAGAGAGAGAGCAGAGTAGCTGACAGTGAAGGCCTCTGTGTCCTCGATCCACGCCTTGTGCGACTCGACGTCATCGCAGGACAAGCCCAGGAGCTTCACCCCCCTCCGCTCGAACTCCGGCGCATATGCCGCCATCTTCCTGAGCTCCGTCGTGCACACCGGCGTGAAATCCCCTGCGGCAAGCACATGCACAAGCAATATTATGGGCGAAGAAGACTTCCTCTTTCGGCATCGTCGAACACGCGGAGTTCAGGTGTAGGAGGAGTGACGCGGTACCGGGATGAGAGAAGAGGATGGTCCAGGAGTCGCCGACGAAGTCGTGGAGCTTCATCTTGCCGTGGGTGGTCTCGACGGCGAGGTCTGGGACGGTGTCGCCGAGCGTCAGGCCTGGCATTTCCGCTCTGATTTCTTCTTCTCCTTCTTCCTTCTTCTTCTTCTCTTCTCTTTCGCAGTTTCTCTGAATCTTTCGAGTTTCTTGGAAGTTAGGGAGAGCGAGAGTGAGTGAGATTCATAGTACATGGGAGGGGCTTGCATGAAGGGAACGTGGCACGAGGGTGGCGGCTTTTCTTCTGGTGAGCGATCTCGTGCATGGCAGGGACGTGCAAACTCGCATCCTCCTTACACGGGGGACTTCGGAAATACAACCTTAAAAAAAGCAAACTGTTTTCTGATATGATCTAAGTAGATTCATCAAAGACATTTGGCGTCTTTGAAAATGACATAGAATGACTAACGAACTGGATTTGACGTCTTCTTTGTTTATTTTACCAATTTTATAACTGTCTTGAAATATTGATCTCTTGGTTTAGATTTTTAGTCTTCTTCTTCTATTCCGTAGGAATTTTTTAGACCACAATTGGTGAATTGGATATAATTCCGGATATGATCATTTATATCCTATTCAGTCCTCGGGGTAATGCGAAGTCCGGCTACGTATAGATATGATTAGGATATAAGCTAGATAAAAAAAAAAACCCACCTAAGTTGTGGGATATAGTCGGATATGATAAGAATTAAAAAGAAAAAATGACCATCTTACTGCACCTTTGACCACCGCCGATTGTTATCACGAATCGTGTTCCCAAATCAAAGCTTCCCAATCGACATCTCCACCTTCGCCAAATTGATACCTTCCTCGACATGAACACCTTCGCATGTCGCAGAAATTTTCAGCCATCCCACAGCTACAATCGTTTGGAATGGTAAAGATTCGAGTTATCAAACTTCCTCTGCATTTTGCTGCAGAAATTTTCTTGAACTTGAAGATCTCCTCAGGAGTAAAGGAAGAAAGAAGAAGAAAATGGAGCAAACAGAGGTGTTTTGAAATTCCTCCCATTTAGGCAAATCTGCAAATCTTTCTCTTCTCTCTCCCCACCCATTTCACTGATCGTGCATCGCCCGCCTCATTTCTCGTTCTTTTGTTCATCTGCGAAGACTCGACCCTGTCGACAATCACGTTAACCCCAGATCTGAGGCGACGCAAGGCCGCAAGGTTCTTAGTTTCGAGGATCAAGACAGAGATGGCAGCCGATTGGGAGCCACAGGTCGTCGATTGGACGACAATAGGCGATGCAGTGATGACGGGTGATGTCGCAGTGAGGTGAGGAGAGCAGCTTGATAGGTGGTGGCGGAAGGCAATGACGATGGTGGATTGATGACAATAGGGCAGAGGTGGAGGTGAAAAGAGAATAATTTTGGCAAATTAGTACCATGTCTACATCCATGTTATATCCTAACACTTACCAAACACTATGTTATTCTATTTGATACATAGCCCATCCGACTTTATCCTATCCCACAAAATAGTCCAGATGACCAAATGCAGCATTATTAATGTATGTTTAGTACGACGGAAAGGCAAGGAATGAAGTAATCAAATGAAATAGAATCAAAAGTCATAATCTCTTTCGAGGTATCGTGGGAATGGAATGAGATGGAACGAGACTTCTTATGCTGTTCATTCGCCAAAGAAATTCTGCGGGAATGGGATGAATGAAACAGGTCCGCATATTGCCTCCATATGCATAAATCTCGGACGCAAGCACAATCTATCAAAATCTTCATGGACCGAGCATGCCGATGTTTGAATTAAAGAAGAAGCCTCTGACAAATTCACTAATGTTTGAACTAATACTGTGACTATGCATTCGCAACAACATTTAACCTCTCTTCTTTTTTCCGCCCTTGCCAGATTTCGAAGCTCCAGAAATCGTGGTGGACACGGGCTCTTGCTTCTTAGTCCGGCCAGGATGTCTTGGAACCAACTCTGCAACATGAAGCATGAGCTGTTTTCCTGCAACACATTGTTCAAAATTACTAGGCCAGCACAATAACCATAGATAAGAGTTTCCTAGACTAAAACCAGCAACACAACAGGATCTTCTCTTTTTGGAAATTACAACTCCCTCAAAAAAAGAATCACTATGCATGATACTCAACGACTCCTCAACAAGAGATGCATTTGGCTGTGGCTAAGATAAACTACTTCCACTCTATTATATCCATGTCAACAGCAAGAGAAACTCGCAGGCACTAGTGACGCAGAGCTCTGTGACGGTGTGCAGATTCGGCTTGTTGCGATCTCTTCTATGCAGAGGACAATGATTTCTCTAAATAAGATATATCGCCTCATCAATTGTTTCAAGAACAGTCTGAAAAACCCATGGGTTAAATATCAGATTAGATGGATAAGTCCCTGAAAGATCTATCAGAAGGCCTCATTTACACTAAGACTAAAGTAATGCAAATTCCATCTCAGAGAGAGCACCCAAACATACACAACATGAACAAAACCCAATTTATTTAACAATTATGTCCTTTTTTCCCTGCAGCCAACCATCAGATCGAGTGAAGTCTTTTAGAGTAGCCTCCAAATATGACCGGATGTTAGTGGTAGTGTACAAGACGAAAGGGTTTATAAAATTACGAGCCTAAGGTACATAACTAATTTAACCCAGATAAAAGAACATGCAGTTTTTCAGTCAGGAAATCCTTTCCAAAGAATAATGAAATCTATCAGATAAAAAGGGATAAATTATCCCAGCATGCAGGAATCATACAGAAGATAAGGTAGAAACAAAAGCAGAAATACACAAAAGGAGCCAAGTAGTCTAAAACAAAAGCTAGTCCAAGAATTTATTTCTATTTTGAATCTACTGTGCCACTTCCAATTACTAAGTAGCTCATTGAAAGAGTTCGGGTCGCCTAAGACAGACTTCCGCTCTCATCAGGAAAGAACAGTAGACTACTAAGGCTACTTCACAGTGGACAAGTCAGAAAATTCATAGTCAGAACTCTCCTTGCATATGCACTGACAATTCAAAAAAATGAGATCAGGACTATTTTCATTTATAAAAATTCGAGAACGCTGACCATGTCAAGAAAGTAACTCTAAATGGAGCTTTAACCTTCCAAACTTGCTTCTATAGAAAGCAAGTGTTCTTTCAAGGAAAAATGGCCTAGCAACTTTTAAATGATGCACCTTATGCGGTGATAATTAGAATAAAGATTCTGAAAACCCATGTGAAGGGCCTGCTATCCACAAAAATTATCTAATACCCAGCCAGAATTTGATTCGGGTTCCAGTGCATTACCAACCACAAAACAGAATTCATCCCAACATCACTTATAAGCCTCTATAAACTATAACAATCTGTAACTCAAGCATCTAATGTACACCACTGAACAGCGATGAACGTCTTGCAACAATTTGTTGTCTTGAACGACAAATGTACAAAACCATTTTCCCAACAAGGCTTGATTAAAAGTTTGAAGATCTCTTACACCTAGTTCACCCTCATCAAATCATTTCTAGATGGAGTTCTAGCTCCGCAAGAAAAACTCATGGTTACAGTTCTTGAAGCCTAATACTTCAAGAGGACAGTAACCACGTAGGAACAACACAGGAATGACAACCGTCACGTGGTTGATGCTCGACCATCGCTCCGCGATTCCCATCATATAGGGAAGTGAGCTATGGGATCAAAACATGAAGTTGAATCACTTGATCATATGATGCCGGCTATATCTCAACAAATTAGAAATAAAGATCCAAATGAGCATGCCCTAGGGCTATCACAAGATGTCATTCGGGCGAAGTGTTGCTTTCACGCGACATTTACATTTCCCAATTCTAGGTACTACAGAACTTTTCTTCGATGTCTTCACCATTCTGATCTTTGCAACAACAACAAAATGAAAAATAGAAAAAAACAGAGTTTCAGCCCCACATTTCAGACAAGCTTATTCCTAGGTCCAATTCACCCAGTAAGCACCTCAAAACCTTCGGAAATCGACGCAAAGCTAATCAAACTTACTGGAAGATATGGCCGGATTGTGCAGAGTCCCGTCCTCCCTCTTGAGCAGAACCCTCACTCTCCCTCTCTGCATGAAATCTCGCGGATACGCCTTATCAAGCTGCACCAAAAAAATCCATCTCGACGTCTCTCAAAACGCGCCAACAAGAAACGAAGCAAAAAGGAAGCGGGCGATCGTTAACCTCGACGGCATAAGGGAGCTTGAGATGGCCGCAGCAGTCCCCGATCTCGATGCAAGTGGGGTTCTCGCACGCTTTCGCCGCGCAGATCCGCCGGCCCTCGGCGATCGTCTTCTTCGAGTTGATGTACACCGGGTAGAGGACGATCCACCTCTTCATGTTCGGGATCTGCTCCCCTTCCATCCTGCCGCGACGCCGGCGGCGGCGGCGATCGGCGGCCGCGGGCGACGAAGGGAATCGGAGTCGCGAATCGCCGGAGCTCGGATCGGAAGCGAGGGGTTTCGATCGATCGATCGATCGGATCGTCGTGCGATCGGGCGACGCTCCGCTCTGACGCAACCGATTGGAGAAATTAGGGTTCCAAAGAATTGCATGCGGAAGAAGAACCAGAAGGGAATTGGCACTCAATGGGTGATGACGAATATGCCCCTGCCCTTTTGATACATCTTTTTACCGTACTTTTTACATCCGGATATCCGTCGTATTTTCTAGGGGTGAGCACAGAACCCGATTCTCGATTTCTAAAATTTTAATTGTTAGTTCGGTTCTCAATTCCTGACGTGGATCAAATCAGCCGGACCAAATCGATATTTTTTAATTAATAAATTAATGATACATGATCATATTTTATCGCACATTTAGTATATTTTCACCAAATATTTAAAAAAGAACGAGAATTTAGGTTATACTGCAACTCATAGGAAAAACAAATATCATCACCGATTTCTGGACCCACCCGGGTAACGGACTGGTCCAGTCCGATTCCAGGACCAAATGGGCCGGACCCGGTTCCACAAAATGGGAACCGACCTATCTCGTTCGGTTCTCAGTTCCATTCTTTCATTCTTTATTTTTCTAAAAATAAACAAAGGAAATGGAGAAAAACAAGCAAATCAAACCACAAAAAAAAAAACGGAAAACGATAATATTAACAAAAAATATAATCCAATTAAATTTTTTTACTATGTTCGTTAACTAGTTATAGAAAAAGAAAAAAGATGGATCAATAAAAATATTTATGTAAAGAGCAACCCCTTCGACACCAACGACAAGCATCATCGTTAGCCTCGTTGGGGGTTCGCAAAAAACCAATGCGGTTCGCTTCCGTCTCCCCGCCCGTCCGCTGACACTCACGGCATAAATCCAGCTCAACCAACTCGCAGCAGCAGCAGCACCCGCCCACCAAAAATCCCACCAACCAACCTCTACTCCCATCCATCCATCCATCCATCCAGCCACTCCGATCCTCAACCCCCTCCCACCAAACTCCATCGATCCATCCGACCCTCTTCTTCTTCTACTTCTTCTTCGCTGCAGCAACCAGGGTACTGGGTAGTTCGCAACACCCACGAAGCGGTCCTGTGCGGTGTCCCTCCCGGTCGAGATGGCGAGGAAGAAGATCAGGGAGTACGACTCCAAGAGCCTCCTCAAGCAGCACCTGATGCGCCTCGCCGGCATCGACCTCTCCATCCGATCCGCTCAGGTTCGTTCTCCCCCCCCTCCGATCTCGGCTCCCTCTCTGTTTCTCGATCTCCGTTTCTTGAAAGTTTTCTTTTTGGGGCCGCGGATGCGTCGCGGTGCGGCGTTCTGGTGTTTCGATCCTCTATCGGTTGCTCGTGGAACCCATTTTCGAAAGGAACCGTCTTTCGTGTGGGCGATGTGGTGATTGGTGGTGGGAAATTAAGTCGTGGAAATGGGTGTTGACGGTTGACTGGAGTGACGGTGTCGTGGTTTTATGTTCACGTGTGTTTTCAAGGTGACGGAATCGACGGATTTTGCCGAACTGGTGAACAAGGAAACGTGGCTGTCCTCTACGAAGCTGGTCGTGAAGCCCGATATGTTGTTCGGGAAGCGTGGCAAGAGCGGGCTTGTGGCCCTGAATTTGGATATGGCTCAAGTTGCTCAGTTCGTGAAAGAACGTATCGGTGTGGAGGTGATCAAACAAACCCAAATTTTGTTATATTCACTGCGCTTTCGCAATGTTCTTGTTGTTTGAAAATGCTTTCCCGATTTTGTTCTAGGTCGAAATGGGCGGTTGCAGAGCACCCGTGACCACATTTATAGTCGAGCCCTTTGTTCCCCATGATCAGGAGTACTATCTTTCTATGGTATCGGAGAGGCTGGGATGCACTATAAGTTTTTCAGAGTGTGGAGGCATTGAAATAGAAGAGAATTGGGATAAGGTATTCGATGATGCCATGACGTAATATGGTGACAAGACAGATGGTTTCTGATATCCTTGTGTTTGATTCCATGTGGAGCTAATTGGACATGACCTCTTTCTGTGCAGGTCAAGACTATTTTTTTGCCTACCGAGAAGCCTTTGACAAGCGAAACTTGTGCTCCACTTATTGCTACACTGCCTCTGGAGGTTGTCATGTTTCACAATTTTCATTTAACAATTCAAGATTTTCAAAGTTTTGTACTTTGCAGATGGGTAACATTCAAAAGACAAGATATGTGACAATACTCTGCTTAGAAGGATTAGACTGAATACTCATTAACTTTAATCAAGATTTCTAAGGAACTAATTAGTATAATTGGTAGGAGAGAAACCGTGTTTCGTAGCATCTTTGAAAAAAAAAAAAACCCTCTCTCTGGAATTATCCCCTATGTATGATTTCTGTTTGCTGTGAAAACCAAGCTTAGAAAATCCTTTTTGCAGGTTCGTGGGAAAATTGGGGATTTCATAAAGGGAGTCTTCTCAGTATTTCAGGGTATGGAAATGTTATGAGATGGAATAATAGTATTGGCTCTTTACGACTTTACATTATGAGAAGGCTTATCTTTCAAATTATAAAAATTATCTCAACCTAGTACTGGACCACGAGACTTGCAAATCTTGTTCTCCTTTGTTTTTATACTGTTTTTAAATATTTGAATGCCCTTTCTTTTTTTCAGATTTGGACTTCAGTTTCCTGGAGATGAACCCATTCACTTTGGTTGATGGGGAGCCCTATCCTTTGGACATGAGGGGGGAGCTGGATGACACTGCCGCTTTCAAGAACTTCAATAAGTATCATTCTGCATAAGACTCTTCTAAAGCTTCCCTCTCGACTGCTTCTTTCCTGCATATTAAGCTTGGCACTCCAACTGTGCAGATGGGGTCATATTGAGTTTCCATTGCCGTTTGGCAGAGTGTTAAGTCCGACGGAAAACTTCGTTCATTCATTGGATGAAAAGGTAGCTATGGAGACTTAACCATGTCTTTTAGTTCAAGCTATTGCGTGAATATTACAGCAAAGTGAATTCAGTTACTCGAAGTCTGATATTGGCCTTGGCCACCGGGTTTAGTGCTTGGTATTGGATTTCTTGATGAAGTTGGGATTTGGGAGCTCTAATTGCGGCTTGCTTTTAGTAATGATTTATGAGATTATATGGCGATTAATCAATGCTTGACCTTCACTTTTTATTCCCCCTGGGGCAGACATTAATGCTTTACGCTGCACGATTGATCTAAACCTCATCTGATACTGATGGATATTCTGTTTAAATCGTCACGGTACTTGACTCCAGCACTTGAATCTGCTATTGGCACTTCTTGCTCCCATAGAAAACTTGACAATTCAAGTGCGTTTTTGATATTGCAGACAAGCGCATCCCTGAAGTTTACTGTTTTGAATCCAAAAGGACGTATTTGGACCATGGTAGCTGGAGGTGGAGCCAGTGTAATCTATGCAGATACTGTGAGTTTTCATTTATCTCATCTGTTGACTAAATCACTCTTACTATCACGACCTCATCTTGTTTGGCTCGTTGCTTACTCTATTTTGGATGTAAATCTGCTTGTTTTGCAATTCCGTGATTGTCATGGTAACCTTCCTGCTTATCTCAATAAATTGGCCTCTTTTTGCATTGCGGAAAAAAAAAAAAATTTCCTTCTTTTCGTGCTACACTTTAACATATGTTCTTTCCAGGTTGGTGACTTGGGCTATGCATCAGAACTTGGCAACTATGCAGAGTACAGTGGAGCTCCAAATGAGGAAGAGGTTTTGCAGTATGCTAGGGTGGTTATAGACGTAAGATCCTCTGACCGTTTGCGCGTTTATGTTACTTTGTTTCTGCAATCTCACATAATACTTGTTATCACTTTTGGAAATCTTATGCTGCTGCAATCACCTGATTTCATTGGCAGTGCGCTGCTGCAAACCCCGATGGTCGTAAGAGAGCCCTTTTGATTGGAGGTGGCATCGCTAATTTCACTGACGTTGCTGCCACGTTCAATGGCATAATTAGAGCCCTTAGGGAGAAGGTATAGCCTAACTAAATTAATACTATGACGTGCATTTTCATGGATAATATTCATATATGTATGATCACTCTCTTTCTTCCATCACATGATAGGAATCTAAGCTGAAAGCAGCAAGAATGCATATTTATGTGAGAAGAGGCGGCCCAAACTACCAGACTGGTCTAGCAAAGATGCGTGTACTTGGTGAAGAACTTGGACTTCCGCTTGAGGTATGTCATGGATCGTCTTTGTCCCTTTTCTTCTGTTATGCTTTGCTGCCGATGTATGTTATGATCACGCTGAGCAAATTCCTTCTTTTTATATTGTGCACTGGCTCGACTTGCGTATTTTTGCTTGGGAAAAAAAAAACAAATACCTAAGCAACATGCCAAGGGGTGACATTTTCCGATACTATGATAAGGTTTAACATGGTTATGAAAGTAGATATTGGTAAACTTGAAATGACGCAACTCGATACGAATTTGAATTGCACAAGTTTTTTAACATGTTGAACAAAAATATAATTTTTTGCAACCAGCCAACGTGTCAATGACACGAGTCAGCTCGAATATAAAACCCGAATTTGATATGCAAACATGTCGCGACGGATCATCGGCTCTCTATTCCTGCTGATCTTTCTTCTTGCTCATGATGTAGGTTTATGGACCTGAAGCGACAATGACAGCAATTTGCAAGGAAGCGATTGAGTGCATAATGGCAGAGTCATAGAATGCATTCCAACTCCAGCAACTTTTAAAGGAATTGCTCTGGTGGTTGTCTCATGCATTTAGGTTTGGCCAAGAGAAAATCATTGCATTTTGACCATTTCAAGATCAGGTTCCCGGAATTTCTTCACAAGAAAGAAAAAAGAACTTAAATTGCTTGGAATTTCTCGAACATTGTTCAATCCCCCCAATTTGCAATAATGTGTCAAATGTGTGTTTTGCATCTTCAATAGTATCTTTGTAAGGTGAGAGCTAATGCACACATTCTCTATATACTTGAAATGAAAGGTCTCCAAGCTCGAAATGTTTTTGTGAAGTGCCTAGCCCTAGATCTTTGTACTGATTTTGCTTCTTTCTTTTGTGGGTCCCCTCCCAATTCTGCTTTTTGCATGCTCCAATAGTCCAATAAATAATAAAGTTGGTTTAGTGGATGGTAATTCGATCATGTGTTCACTTCACTCAACTTAAAAACATGTCTTACAAAATGAAAATTCCATCTGCAAAATGAAAAACAAAAAAAAAAATGGAAATACGATATATTACACTGAAACTTATATAGATCAATTGAGACACATATCATGGAAGATAATTTGTTTGCATTTATGATGTGCGGAATTAAACGTGTCATGCGCATAATCCAAGCACACAATGATGTATGTCATTCACTAAGCCAATCCATTGAATTGGCCCTTGCACTAATGCGTGCTAAGTCAAACTCTTGAGGCAAGAACAGTTACATCAATCGACTGACGGTCGAGTCGATATCAGTAGAGTTGAGAAGTATTGACATCGGCTTTATTGAAACCGAGTCGACCTAGAGGATAAAAGAGCGGAATGGAGTTAAATATCAAACTCTTTAGGCGGGATCAGTTTCCGTTAACTGTAGCAGGCTAAGGTTGATCGGAATGGAAAATTTATAGCGTCGAAGGTCCAAGTCGATCGTATTGGAACAATTATCACCATCAGATATGGGGCCGGAATTTGATTTTAATGAGCAAGAACGGTTATTAAGAAAGGCTAGCGATCCTGGAATACAAAAGGTGTAGATTTGAAGAGGAAGAGACACGCACGGAATCCGGGAACCAAAAAAGAGAAATATTTTATTTTGAGCGAAATTACTTTTCTACAATTTATCAACATGGTTTCCTTCCACATCTACCCTTTGCTGTTGTAGGCTGAGGAGTCATCTGTCTCAGTGGACAGTTCAATTTGATGACTTCGGAGTGAACACAACCCAAGCATATGAATAAAACACGTTTGTGTTAGCAAGTGTGCATGCAGATGTCTGTGCACATAGGCATGATATGTTCTCTCTCCTCCTTATGTCAATTGGACTGTAAATAGGCTAGAAAAATATGAGTTCAAACTAAACCTGTCAAAATTCTTAACTCATATATAATAGGCCGAGTTGTTACAAGAGTTACTTATATTTAGTATATATGTCATATATGAGTCTAAACATAATATGGGTGTTAAATGGGTCATAAATGAGTCGTAAATGGGTCATAAGTGGGTTTACAACTTACTAGACTCGATTTATCTCTATGATTCTCTCTTAATACTCTCTCGTCCTTAGATGATCTTGCGCTTACTCACTCTGCACTTTCACCTCAGTTTGGATATGAGTTTTCCTATATTGAGTTAAATATGGAAATGGTTTAGTAATATTGATCGGGTTGGGTATGTGTTGGTATGAGTCGGGTCGGATATGTCACTTTGCTTTGAATGGAAATAGGTCAAAACGGGTTAAATGAGTTCTCTTTGGGTCGGGCCATTTTCAATCCGATCCACCTATTTGACAGGTCTAATTAAAACCAATATTAAATTGGCCTACTGAGGATCATTTAGTATGACGGGAGAAACGGTTCAATGAGTCAATATTATTATTGGCGGATACTATGATCTCTGGGCGTTCGAGAAACCAAAGGCATTATAGGGAGCAGAAGCAAACCACCGGGATCGTTTGGTACGATCGTATGAACACGATGCCAAGGCAAATGCAGCAACTTAAGGTTTAAGAAGTTGCTAAAATGACTAATTCCACTTTGATCATCAGTCCAAATTTAGTCTACTCGATAGCTAATATTATATGAGTTGGGATAATCTTTTTACGATGCTCTTGAGATCGCAACGGGTAATCCTAATATCATAGGAATGATCCGTCGGCGTCAAATCTCAGCTGTGATAATCCTCGCTCTAAACCCTCGATTACGAATGAACATCATCCGAGAATCATGACTTCGAGCCATCCGACGAGTTGAATACGAAACAGAAGCACAACATCTGAGGAGCAATAACCTCGCATCGACCAGCATATGCAAACTTTTGCAACGTCAAGCAGCAAGCTAATGGACGAAAAACTTGATATGGTCGTTCAGTTTCAGTTCAAGTTCAACAAACAAATGAATAGAAATTTGCAAGCAGACACATGCGCGACTGTGCATCAGGCGATGACTGCCGTGGCGGCCTCGGTCGTGGGTGGCAGCCAAAGTCGAGAGATGGCAAGGCCGAGGGAGAGGAGAGCCAGCCTTGAGAGAGGGACAACGGGAATGAGAACCAATTTTCTTTTAGCGATGGAAATTTCATCGCCATTGAGGTTCAATTTGCTGCGCACTTCTGGTTTCGTCGCCTTTATCTTTTTTTTTTTACATTAAACTTATAAAAATACGAAATTTTTTTTTAAAAAAGAGAGGATAAAATAAGAGAAAATTACGTTAATTATAAGATAAATAACTAGCCGAAAGCAAATATTAATAATTAGATTAAATAATGAAAAATTGACTAAAAATATTCTGATAAATATAATTACTTTAACAGAACCAAACAACATAATTTGAGAAAAGTTAAGTACAAAAGAAAAAATAAAAGTATGTGACAGATAATGATCTATCTTGACATTCTATTTTTCATATTTTTATACCTTTTTCTGAAGATAAAGACGAGAAAAGATGCAATAGGTCTTATTTCTCATACATCTTAGGAAGATTCCGATCACATTTAGACAAGTAGATATCCAACATGTGGGCCGGGGACAAAGAATTTGCACAGAGAGCGATAAAAAGATCATAACTTTCGATCCAGAAAGAGTTTCATGGCCCATAATACAAAAAGAGCCTATTTTGAGCGCTATACTATTGCCAAATTGGGGAACTGATTTGCACGTCTTTTTAGCCTTATAATCCATCATTTAGGCGTGTTTGAGGTGCACTTTTATGTCAATTTTCCTTTTTATATGAGGCTTTGTTAATTTTTCCGAACTTCTTCTCTGCAATACGACTATTTTCGGGCTTTCTCATGTCGCCTCTAGTTTGTAGAGTGATTATTTGTTCCTTTAGATATAATCGTCTTTTAGACGGCTTTTAATCATTATTTCAAAAAACATAAAAGAGAACTTTCTCCGAGTTTTTGTCCATGAGCGATGGTGCGCATAAGTGCATGTTTGTGAATCGGATTGTGAGTTTCATTTTTGCTAGGCTGACAATTCATGTCGTCTCGTGTTATATTGAAACAAGGGTATATAACACAAATATAGCTTACCAGAACAAAACATGTTTAATAAACATGTTGAACTCACCTCCACATGCCTCATAGAGCATGTCAAACCACAACATGGTTAACATAATTATCTGATTGTTGTCCACACGTCACAATACTTTATCACGTTTATAATGATAAACACGTTTATGTATGACAACATGTGTTAACACGTTTCAACATGGTTCTAGATAATATGAATAATTTCACTTTGCATTACATCTAAAGTGTATTATTGACTTTTTTTGTCTATCTTGTATGATTTTGTTTTCCTTAACTTTGATTTTATTTAATAGTTTACATGTACAAACTTCATTATAAAGACAGAAATAAAAGATTGTTAAAATCACGCAATGTATTCATGTATGTAAATATATGAAAATTAATTGAGCCTCATTAACATTGTTTATGCACAACAACATGCGTTAACACGTTTCAACATGTTTGTAAACAATATGAGTAATTTCACTTTGTATTATATCTAAAGTGTATTATGCTAACTCATTTACTCACAAGTGTATTACATCTAAAGTGTTTGCCGACGCATTTGTTTAAAATATACAACACCAAAAACTTATGCACTAAACATGAGTTAAGCAATTTATCAAACGCATGATACGGATATGAGTAAAAGAGCAAGGATACAGGAAATGGTCAGCCGATTGATAGGGGTTCGGGTCTAAATCGTTGCGTACTCCATTCCTCGAGATCGTTCGAGAGCGTGCCGACTGCTGAGGAATTCTTTCTTACCAACCTTTTCGAATCTACCACAGAGGTCATGAAAACCTTTTCTGAAGCCCTTCAAAAGTGTGAATAGAATCAAGATCATCTACCTCATTTTCACCATCGCTTTAGCTTTTCGAGTCCAAGGTAGATGCCAATGCCTTCCTCCTCCTTTCCATTCACGAACTTTTTCAGTACCTCTTTCCTCATTCTTTGTCGTCTCTTTTGTCCTTCTTGCCAATCCGCTCCTTCCTGTCCCCATTGTCTTATAAGACAAGTCTCGTACATTCGCACCTTAGATGCCCCCCCCGACTTGTCACTCTCGTGACATTTGTCGTTGTTGCTCCAATTAGGCTCGTGTATTTTCCATCCCAAATATTCCATTTTAACCTGCCGTTGGAAGTTAAAAATTGTCAATCGCATTTTTACCCGCGCAACGAAGACTAAGGGTATATCTGCGGCCCACTTTTAATTTAAGCTCATTTCTTGCCATTTTTTTTTGTTTTTTCCCCGTTTGGGACGATATTGGTGACTATTTTTTCTGAAAAATAGTTTATCTGGAAAATAGCCGGCTAGTTATTGTGTTGATGAGCAAATGTATATGCACACTAAAAATAACCTAAGCACAAGTACAACCAAAGAAAATCATCTATTATTTTAATGAAAACATTTGGTTTAATTAAAACTTTAATATATGTCATTACGTTATAGTTTGTATATTTTAACTACTTAACTTTCATTTTGTTTGGTGAATCTAATAGTCCAATTTTTATTTATTTTTCATGTCTTCACTACACGATTATTCAAAAGGAAAATCTCCCTAAAACATTATTGCACAAAACGTTATATTTACCTTGATTACAAGGAATTATTAGCCATTAATAATGCAAAACATTAAATTGTTTGATCTTAAGAAGCTGTTTTTATGCTTTTCCTATTTATACATGTACTTGTTAGAATCAAATATCTAGACTAATAACAGTGTAATAGGAATTGTGTGTAATATATACATCAACTCCGATATTCAATCTTTGAACAAATTCTCGTAAATTTGGTATCGGAAATCAAAGTTGAAAAACTCATGATCATGAGGAAAATCTAGACGAAAGAAAGTGAACAATGTGCAAATAAACCTAACCTTTCTTTTACTCCTTTGTATGTTTGATGCTTGCTCAGATTGCAAGAAGTAGTCGAACTCTTGGGCAATGGAGAATAATAAGTTCATAAGGAGACAAACATGAAAAAAAATGTTTGAGAGGGTTGGAAGAAGCGACACTAGGGTTATAAACACTCTTTTGAGAGGGGCAAGGATAGTATTGTATTTTAATAAAATTGAAGGTAATCCATTTTTTCGTTAATAAGAGGAGTTTCTTACTTATCTTAATGGTTTTTTTTAAGGTAATATCATCCATTCAAAGTGGTTGGGGTTTACCCACTATATTTGGTGTGAAAAAGTGTAAGCCTTTTTGTTGTTTATTTAATCCTAGTTTAAGTTATATCCAATCACCTACCACACAAAACAAGAGATACGACAAATCCGTCCCCCCACTCCTTATCCTATCCCAATCTTAGTACTTGTCTTGCCGACCAAACGCGACCTAAAAGCATCTACACACGAGCGGTTATATAGCATGAAGATAAACGCGTTTTATCATCCCTTTTTTTCTTTCGATAATTCAGCGGCAGAAGCGTAGAGACCTGGGTACTTGGTAACCCATGTAATTTTACACGAAATCTGTGGGATCTGAACGATAAATAGCCATCTTGGCCGGGCTGAAATGAGAAGTTATCATAGGATATAACAGATTACCACAACACTTTACAGAAAAAGAGTCCCCTTAAATTTTCCTTAGTATGATATTAAAACTCAAGTTAGGTGTTTCGAAATACCTCCAAAACGTTCTTCAAGGATCTTTTCCTCTGTTGAAAGTCTAAAATGTATGGGGGAGAAAAAAGACAACCTCTTACCGGGACTAACAAGTTACACAAAACAACCGACAAGTTTGAGAAGAAAAGGGGAACATGAAAGAGATAAAAAGTTCAACGTCTTCGAGTTCGATCTGCCCAATGCGGCGTCGTTCCTGTTCAGCAATTGTCCTAACTGAGTCTTTGCGTTCCTGCACAGTTCACACGTCAAACTTCTTGAATCAATGCTTCCACACAATTTAGAATTGTAAAGATAGGGCAAGCAAAATTTTCAATGAACGTTTAGAAATGTTATGCCCTGTACGACATGAATGGACATCTCTAGAATCTAAACCGTTCAGCTTGCGCGGACCGGTCAATTGGGGTGCCCTTTTCGTTCATTTGCCACGGCACATCATCTGAAGATGCCCCCGGCGAACGCATATTACTCGACAGGAGCATCAACGAGATGCCGACTATGTATCAACTATGTGGGGGAAGCAAGTGAAAGCAGCAGGACAGCACGAGCCTGGTTTCTTACACGAATCACGTGAGATCATATGGCAAGTACGTAGCATGAACAATGAGATCTCACATGAACAATAGTTGTCCGTTAGCGATTCATGATGATGCTCGAGGGTAAAATGTCAATGACAAGATGATAGGCACGATGAAGAGTTTCAGGAGCAAAGAAAACAATAATAATTTACCCCCCACCATCCAAAATACGAAATTTTTTTTTGAAAAAATATAGAAAGATAAACGTGGGTCGGAGAAGAAAGATCAATACCAATGTGATGTGAGTGTGTGGTGCCTTGTGAATTTGTCAGAATCTGTCAAGTCAGGAGAGTCAGACACAATTAAAGAAGGGCAAAAATCAAGACTACAACCACGAAAAAAGACAACCTAAGGAACAGAAAAAAGCGAGTGCAGCCTCGCTCTCGTGACTCTCTCGTCCCATGCATGAAAAGATAACGCCCAGAGAAACGAGTGAAGTCAGTCCAATCGCATATTCGACAAAGTACGTGAGTCACACACCAGATAAAACATGAAATTTTACCGCAAATTCTTGCGGTTTCATCGAATCTAACTATGCATGCCAGATCACGTCCGCTGAAAGACATTGTTTTTTACCTTTCTCAGATTAAGAAAAGTCGCTGAATTTCACGTACCTGTACTCGGTCTTTTCTTCCCAAAGAAAGCTCATCGGATTTTTCAACGGAAATCTCCGAAGGTTTGGCTTGTGGGCGCTGAATCCAAGGAGGAGCTGATCACTTTGTCGTCGCTGATCATCAGGCCATACTTTTCTTGATTCTGTCGTCGTTGCTCGTCGTCTCTCTGCACATCCATAAACCCTCCATTGTTGCCGTTGCCGTTGCCGTTATTACTCACGCGTCTCACTATCTCTCCGACCCCAAGAAAGTCCCTCGTCATCCCATGTTGACCCATGTGGGTCGTCGTCGACTGCTCCGACCCGGTCTTGTTCGTGTTGTCGTAGATCCCGTCGTAAGCGTCCCCGGCTGATTCTTGATGATGATGATCTTGCCCACCTCCGAAGGCGCAGTTCACTAGCTCCTGGAGGTTGTTGTCGCCACCGAATATGCCCGCGAAGCTAACCGGGGCAAGTGGCGACCGGTCGGATTTGATGCCGCTTGAGGAAGAGTAGTTCGCGAAGGTTTTTAGGAAAGAGGCATTGTTGTTGGTATCCGTTCTTGAGGTTGCCGAGCCCATTTGAGCAGCCTTTTGGAGGAGAGCAGTTGCAGACATGTGAGGCGGTGAGAAATCATGGTGGTTGCTGTTTTGCAGAAGTGAAGTGCTATAGAGAGAAGGCACTCCTGATGAGCTGATCTGATGATGATCACTGGTTATGCTTCTCTGCAAGAGGTTCGATCCTTCGCTTCCGATCTCGTTCTTGAACCGGTGATGATCTGGGACCAAAAGCCCGGAATTGAGTAAGCTGCTGGTGCTGCTGTTGTTGTTGCTGTTCGAGCTGCTACTTGAAAGCATTCCAAGATTGAAAATATTTGCCAATGATGATGATGGTGATGGATCATTGTTGTTGCTCTTGACATGATCAGGGATCAATTGCTGCATCATCAGTCCATGGAAGGGCTTGTTCTGGAGCAACCCTTGGTGAGGTGATGCTTGCTCCTGAGAATTGTAGCTTTGATTTGACTGATCTTGGAACAAGAAATTATTAGGGGATGGTGAGCCCATTGAGGGAAGCGGTTGATTAAACGTCGAAGAAGCAGTTCCCATGGAGGGCGCAAGGAGGTGATCAAATAATTGTCCACTCCGAGCACGGCCAAGCGGCGAGACGTCGTTATTGTTGGAATGGTTTATTCCCTGGCCTTGCATCATTGAGGGTATTTGGCGATTCGCTTGCGACAATCCCAACCCCATGTTGGTGCTTCCATAGATGGAGTGGTTGCCGATGCTGTTCAAGGCGGGAGGGTGTCTAGCATTCTCTTGAGCAAGCGCGTCACAAAAGGCACGGTGAGTGATGAAGCTGTCGCGCCTGCAAAAGTTTCATCCGCTATGCCGTTTAGCAATTTTAGCCAAAGAGGGTGAGGAAAACTAAAGGTTTAATTTAATTAGCTGGATATGAAGCAATTAGTTAGGGTTCATGCACGTTTCATCAGGAGAGTTTAACTTTTTTAATTTTCGGTAGGCAGAAATCATACGAATATTTCCAATTATCCCATCTTAATCAAGTGTGTTTCAAACATTTGTTCTCAGTAAAGTCATACTTGAAGCTTCATTTTTATGACGGATGACTTAGGTAGAGCACTGTAAGTAGGGTCAAGGGAAAGATTTTAGGCATGTCTAACTCTAAAATTAATCATAATGGACCTCCGGACACACATACACAAACACACACAAACCCTCAAAGGAATGAACCGTAGAGAATATAATCATGGACATGGTCTTGGCCGGGAGAGTAATTTTCCTCTAGTGCATTAAATATATGAAAAAGAAGGAGAAGAAGAATAAGTTATCTTCGTCAAACTACCATTCTAAGAGCCGGCAGTTCAATAAATGAGAGGAGGGAATATTTTCAAATCCATGAAAAAAACTGATGCAATCTATGTCTATCCATGACAGGAGCCTATCTATTTCTCTCAGACTTAGGTTTTCATAAATGCAAAATCCCATGAAAGTGATACAATATTTCATCATAAATACAAGGGAAGTGGTCTTTGAATTGGTGTTGTGTGTTCCTGGGAGTAGATTGTGCTGCAAATATTGTTAGGTGCTGTTCAAAACCCAGCTTTTGCCATTGCAATCATGAAGACATCTAAAGGGAGAGAGAGGGAGAGAGAGAGAGAGAGAGAGAGGGGTTGATTGTCAGAAATGGTACCTGGAGGAGAACAGTCCTGATAACATGTAGCCAAACGATAACATAACAAAAATGGCAACACCACCCCAAGCTTCTTCATGTGTGTGCATAGCAACACGTGAATGAGGGCAAATAAGAAAAAAAGAAGACACTTGTGGGCAGATGGCGTTCTTCTCGAGGTAAAAAGGACCCTCATGCTGGAAATGATTGTTTTTCCTGTCTAAATTTCTTGGCTTCTTGATGAAATTTCAAAAAGCCATTATAAAATGTACACGAGAGAGAGAGAGAGAGAGAGAGAGAGAGAGAGAGAGAGAGAGAGAGATTCACTAAAAAGGTGAAACCCAGAGACGGTGTAGAAAAAAGGGGAAAAACCAAGATGATTCAAAAGCTTCTTCTGTCAATTTCAAGAATCTAATCCTAATCTGCAGATGCCAAGCACCAGGTCTCTCTCTCTCTCTCTCTCTCACGCACGCAAAACTAAACCATAACCCACCACGTTATTTGCATCCTCACGAGCCAAATTGAAGAAATAATTCAGCAACTAACGATTTTCGCACATTCAAATGCAAGATACGTTCATTCAAAGAAAAAAAAAGTCAATGAGAAGATAATGGTTATACCTTGAAAAAAGAGTGCCGCAATCACACCTGTACTCCCGAGTGCCACAGGTCTTGGAGTGCGCCTTCCAGTCCGACTGCACTGCGTACCGCTTCGAGCACTTGTCACACTTCCACTTCTTCTCGCCGTGCTTGCGGGAGTAGTGCTTTTTTATCCCTGTGAGGTCGCCGAGGGCGCGGGACGGGTCATGGTGCACGCAGGTGGGCTCGGGGCATAGGTAGACCTTCCGCCGCACCGCCTCCTTGTTGGTGCCCTTCTGCTTGAGCTTCCATGGCAGGTTGTGGCCCCTCCGGTGCAGCTGCAGGTTCTGCTCTCTCTGGAACCCTTTCTTGCACACCTCACACACGAACCTGTTCGTCGCCATCAAGCTCTTGGGCGACAGCGCTATCACCTCCGCGTCCGGATCTGTCACGTAACGCCGTTGTGGAAGCACAATTTTTATACTTTACATAAGTGAAAAATGCCAAAAATCCATCAAATCAGTGGCAAAATTCTATGGCAAAAGGAAGGAGTCAAACAAGGAGAAAAACTGGGATACAGACATGGCGCAATTAATGAAATTTTGAGGGGAAGTTTGGAAAAACTAGGGTTTCTTTCTTGTAACCTATTTGCAGGAGATGCATCAAGAGCATCAAATGACTCCAAAAATTCACTGAAAAAAAATAATCTTATCCTCCAAAGAATAGTTGCCCATTTCTGTGTTTCTAGAGATATGTATGAATGAAATCGAAACTGGGTTGATGATACTTGCATGGATTTCCAGGTTGGTTTCGCTTCTTTTTCTGGGGAGCTGGAGCTGGAGCCGGAGGTGCAGATGCTGCTGCTGATGAAGCCAATGGAGCTGATGGGGCATGGCGGTGCTGCTCCATCTGAATCAATTGATCTCCTCCCTCTTGAAATCGATAAAATGGCGCCACCGACGATGAAGAGGCCGCCATCACTTCGTCTTCTTCTTCTTCTTCTTCTTCTTCTTCAACAACTTGCACTCTCTACCCTTATCTTCAAGAATGACTAACCCAGCAGGAAAATTGAGCTTGCCTGAAATCTTATCTAGGGAAAACCTGAAACGGTGGTTGCAGCTTCGGCATATTAGAAGTGTGGGTTTCTCAAACCTGATTAAAGAGGAAAAATCTTGTCCTAGAGAGAGAGAGGGAGGGGGGGACAGACAACGAGAGAGAGAGAGGAAAGTTGAAGAGAAAGGGAAAAAAGGGAATCAAAACAGGCCATACGAGAGACATCAGCAGCTAGCTAAGTTACCTTACACTTGCACACAGTTTCTTCCCTTTTTATTTCACTTGCTTTTGATTGAGTACGTTAAAGCAAAGCTCCTCAGTTGTTTTCGCAGCCATTATTTTCCCCATCATTATTCACTGTGATTTTGCAAAATTTAAGCAAGCACATGATTCTGCACTCGCCTCTCCTCCCGTTTTAAAATATGTAAATCAAAGTTTTTCTTTGAATTTTCCGTTACGATGTGTTTGCCATTTTTGGTCTCAAGAATTCACTCAAAATTTAAAGGAAAAATTGCTGAGGCTGAACATTTATTATGAGAGAGACAGCGATGAGAGGGAGGGAGGCTGATGGTCTTTGCACCACCATGCTGTGTGTCCTCTTCCGGCCGTGGATTGGGTCCACCGACCTATATGGTCCTCATCACCCTCCTTCGCTCTCATTGAAAGAAAAAAGAAAAGAACGGAGCATAATTTCATAAACTGATTTTCTAAATAGCGCAATGGAACAAAAAAAAAACAACAATATGATCTAGAAAGCGCGTGCAAGTACGTCTATCTATTTAAGGGCAAAAATTAGGGTCTAATCCCGTGTCTTATGTTATGATCGATCTAATCTCGCGATATCGATTCATTTTTAATTTCATTTTTAATCGTGACAATATTGGTATCTTCCTCTCATTCTCTCTCTATCACTTAAGGACAAACTTCCCCATCACCATTCGCGCCCCCCCCCCCCCCTCCGGTGGACCTCACCACAGAAATTTCATACTAGAAATCAAAAAAAAGGGAGGGGTTTAGAGAATTTTGACTTAATTTAAAAGGGAGGGAGAGAATATTGAGGACGTAGAAACCCTAGTTGCTTTTTGGACTGTTGTGATTGGACGAATGCGCAGCATTAGTGGAGTTGTTAGCTCAACCTGCATATCCATTGATTAATTTTCATCACCGTCTGATTATTCTATTGATCGCCATTTCGAAACAGTTCTTCTCATTCCATGTGCAAAAGAGGGCGCAGCGACTTACCTTTGGAGATTGGTTATGACGAGAGAGACGCGGACTAGGGTTTCAGAGAAGAAAAGCTCTTGACCATAGCTTGGTCCACATAGGCTTGGACTTCGTACCTGGTCCACCAAATTCGAGACCCAGATTAGTCAACACGAGCAGGAATGATTAGAATTTCATATTAGCAGTACATACGTAGATTATTATCGTCACGAAATCTGACTGTACGAATGAATTATCAGTCGTGATTAATTCCGTTTACCGTGTAAATAATACAGTGAAATACAGGGTGAAGAAGTACTGAACTTCTATGCAACAATTTGGAGAGCTTTGCCTACTGACATGTAAAAAGGCACTAGGGCAAAAAAGGTGAAAAACCCTTTGGTCTCAGCTATCCAGTTTCGTCATTCGCATGCAATAATGGAGCTTCGCGCCCCTCGTTGTTTACTGTCTAGTCAAGATGGATGGATTGCTCCTAATGATATAAAAGTGGATAGCACAAAACAAAAGAAGGGACAAAGCTATGTAATGCAGATGGGCTTCAAAATTGCCACCAGTTCAGTAAATCATTCAGTTCAATTCAATTGTATAAAGTACGATACAAATCACGGTCCATGAACTTCAACCCTAATTTGACGGCTAATTTCCAGGAGAATTTTTTCAGGATAACTTTATCAAATAGACTACATCTTCATTAGAAAAAAAAGGAATCTCATACATTAAGTCAATCACATGTCGAGATTCATGCAAGGGTACGTATAAATCCACAAAAAAGAAGTTCGTGCCAACATAATCCTCAACCTGGCTCATCACATTCTTTTTCTTGTGATGAATAAACCCATCTTAAGTAGTTAAAACTCGGACCCATGGAATAGTTCATCGACCCAAGAGATAAGGTGAGATGCGAATCAAAGCTCGAGTGAGTGCCCTAAATATAAAACTATTTTTATCTATTGGAGTGTGAAATCAAACTCGCTACGTGCGCCTAATTCACATACAAATGTTCCTTCTTTCTGTATATTTGTTCACGCAATTTTGGCCCACGAAATGAGACTATCTAAATAACGTTTCTTAAAAGCCTTTCACTTTTCAACGCGTTGATTATTAGTTAGCTCTTTCTTTTTTCAAACCTCAACTATGGTCTTTCAAGGTACCAATCCCCGTCGCACCTCATTGCAATCAAGGTTCACTTTTACCCTAATTTTCACCTAAAGCGTCGCACTGCGATGAAGTACAACGGGAGATTGGTTCCTAAGTGTCGATATAAAAGCTAGCCTTTCCGTTCAAAATCAAGCACAGTTGTCCTTCACTTTATCTAAATAGCGACAGCTTAACAGTAACGGTACACCATTTTTTCACGGGTCAAATGTTTTTTTGTTGTGAATTTAAGAAGGCCTAGGATCTTGTGTTTGTGCATGGACGACATGCGGACCGAGGATGCCAGTACAAATTTATCCACCTTGTGACTCCTAGGATTCTCTCCTTTTGCTTTTACCTCTTGATCCAATCCTCAACAGCACGCAACCCCCTAAAACCAATTATTGCATTTCTGGGCAAGATTCATACGCAAAACTAGAGCTTTCTGTTCAGTAAATGGGATGTTCTTTCATGAGATTTCCTACAGGAGCTTACAGAGATTATTGAAGAAAAGGTATGTCGACTAAACTGCTGTGATTACAAAGTATGTGGTCAGAAAATTGTCCTGAGAGTGCTTTAATGTATCTGTAAGTTCGTATGAACAAATGTGGTGGTGTGCCAAGTATGACATCCAGTAATTTTCAGTGAAAATTGACTTGAAGTACTATATCGGCAGGGCAAAATTGACGAAATTAAAAAGTTTATGACTGAATTGGCATCCGCATGATAAATTTAGGATTGATTGGACAATTTTCCCGCAAATGCTTCAAAAAAACTTTGAGTTTGGTATTAGCAGATATAAATTGTCTACACATCCATCTAATATCCTAAACTTTAGAACAGTCCTATAGTATCGGGGTCGAAAATTCTGATTTCTAATCTTTTCAAGCCCGTATCTAACAAAAAATTCAAAGAACAGAACATGGGTTGTGCCCTAATATGATGCACGAGCTCATTTAGCGATACTAACGTTGTGTGCATATATCTAGAAACCCTAATTAACGTTCCAAGAGAAAATACCCTGAAAAATGAGTACCCGATTTAGGTGACGGCATACAAAGAAGAGCACGCGACAGGAACTCAACCTATACACTGATCATAACTCCACTCATATCGTAGGCGACGACGCTGTAAAAGAAAATCACAAGAAGAGAAATAACCTTTGCATCGATTACGTCATATTTGGAGTGTGCAACGAAATTTTTTCATGTATATCATCATTGGCGGTTTAACTTCATAGGATCAATCATTTATGTAAAGTAAAATCACAGAACGGTACATGACATTAGTACAGAAAGAAAAGGAAAGATGAATGATGGCTAGATTTTGATCAATAGAGCAGCAAAGATTTGAGTAATTAAGAATCCTAACCTTCAGGCTAGCTCTTTTAATCTGTAGATCGATCCATGACTTCCGTCTTGAAAATCTCCGGAACTCGCTTGTCTCTCTCTCTCTCTCTCCTGACTGAACAGCTATATTTTTAACTCTTTTAATCTGTAGATCGATCCTCAACTTTCGTCTTGAAACTCTCTCTCCTTCAATCGAGAGTTTCAGGGCCCGCTCGTCTCTCTCTCTCTCTCCCGACGGAACAATTATGTTTTTGCGCCCAAATCGGCACGGAGCGCGACTTTATTCATCAGAAATGCGAACATTGTTTACCCGAAATTAGCCTCATAATTCCATTTAGGAAGGTATTGAGTTCTTGGTAACTAGAATTAGGGGCAGGTCTACATACCATGTTATGACAGATTTTTCATAATGAAATGGCCATTTCAGGAGGGATTAGGTTACTTCTTTTTGTCGAGAGCAATTAATTGGGTCTGCACAGTTCAAAAGAGTCAATGGACTCCAAGCTTATCCAACTTCAACATGCCAAATTTTCCTACCAAAAAAAAAAAACATGCCAAATTTGATTAGATCTAGGCGCAATTAATGCTGTGGATATAGTAACTATTTTCGAAGCATATTTGAAGGATTTAGCGTCCTAAAGCCAATCTAGGATTTGTATCACATGCTACTCCAATAATAAGTAAATGAATTAGTTGGAGATTATCATATATACTAGGATATGATTTCTACCCTCTTTTCCAGTCGAATAAAAGGCTTATGATACAGCAATCATAATCTGGTGCACTCTCATTAAATTACAGTATCATTAATTTATGCCCTCTTTTTCTTGGTTGTCATATTGGAACTGATTAAGGTAACCTTTTGAATCTAATTCTCTATAAGTATTCTTGGCATCTGTCAAATTTACCATATCCTAGAGTGGCAACGCTAGTGTTGGTAAGAGGTTACTGAATGTACATAAAACCGTGCTATGCAGCGTGGTGGCTAGGGTGGGAGGGGCCGGGGACGCGTTACCGGATTGGTTTGCGGGTCAACATGGAGTGCTAATACTTTACAGAGCGAAACAAAAGGAAAAAAAAAAGAGTCAATAGATGTAAGACGAGGGAGTGAGTGACTCGAGTGTGCTTTAATCCCATGCGAAAAATGAAGAAAGCTGAACTGACCTAAACTTTGTTTGTTTCGCGGAAAATGATTGATTTGAAAATTATTACTTAAAAACGATCGCTTGTGTTGCTCATAAAAATAAATGAACGGAAAATATTTTCATCATTATTCACTGTGATTTGCAAATTTAAGCTATGTGCATGAATCGAGACAAACAGCTATGTTTGTGAAAGGATATTTCTACTACTTAAAACATCCCATGCTGGTAAGAATTATAATGTGTCGTTTATGTTAGGTTAATCTGTGGTACGACGCCTATAATAATCTTCGTTAACCGAATTTCGAAGCAAAATACCCAGAAAGAAGCGACATAAATAAGATTATGACCCAATTAGAAC